ACCAAATTTCAAAACGACACAAAAACTTTCCAGTATTTTCCCTGATTTGAGCACCACTTGATTGGACTCTTCATAAGCCCTGAGACTCAAGGCGTGTATTCCGAAATGTTTGGACTCTCGTGTTTGACTTTCAAATAATAAGTAAAGCATGGAGCGGCAAGGCCAGCAAGAAATTCAAAGAGAATTTGAAAACATTGTTAAAGTCGAAGAGGTGAGTATTATTTTTTTATTATTATAAGTTAATCTGCAAAAATTATAATACGTTATTGATACGTTCCTGTTTATAGACTTATATTGACGGAGAAAAACGCGCGACGATCTTAATAAAAACTGAAGATAACCATCTTGTAAGTACATATTTTGAATATTTTCGAGATAATTATGAACAATCGATAAGATTGTGTCTGTTTCTGAGCAAAAACATACTTGATCGGAGTTATTGAGGTTATGTTCTTATAAGATATTTACAGTTAATTTTTCAGTATTATTGACCTCCGAAATTTGTGATAAGATAATGCATGTAGATTTTTGTAGAAATTATACTTATTTAGAAGACATTTGGGTGAGGTCTGTACTTGCTATGTCAGTAAAAATTATTTTTCCCACAATTCAATGAACTTGACAGTGGATTAGATTTTATTCAGCGCATATTTATTTTTTAAAAAATACAACTCTTGGATTTTCCTAATATTTGTGCACTTAATACACACTTTTTTAAGATAACTTTAACTTGCATCCCAATGTGAACTACTTTACAGGTTTAACAATCTAGGGATTTCACACATGCATTTTCCTTGTAACTCATAGCCCTTCCTTGTAACTCCCCATTTTCCTAGAAACGTGTGACCAAAAATAATAGGTCTTTCAGTAGATAGAATATTTCTTTCACATTCTTTGTTCAAGGCTTGTGCCTGGGACTATTTTGAGTGACTAGATATATAGGTCTATGTTACTTACAATTTTAAGTGAATTTTAGTTGTAAATGCTTAGTGTAATATGTTACACTGTCTATTTGTGCATTTTTGGCTGATTTTTCCCGTCTGTGCAAATTCATATAACTAGGTGCTTATTTTATTAAAATAGACATTTATCTCAAAAACATTTTATCTTCTCATAGAATCAATTTATTTATGAGCATTCATTGATGAAAAAGGGCTTGCCCCAGTTTGCGTTTTTTCCCTTCCTTTTTTTATACAATAAAATATTTGTGCAAATGTAGGATATTTCTTGATATCATATTTTTAAACTGGGCAGAAATGCAACAAGACATACAATGTTCTTCACTAAGGTGAATATTTACCTCATTTATTTCTCCCATGAAGTAAGGTAGATTATATTATGTTTGCACAAAAATATATATTTTCATTCCAAGCATGCTTCTTCCTGATGGTCACTCATTCTTTGTTTGCAAATCTACTTCGACTTTATCCCTCCATCTATTTCTTGGTCTTTCTGGTGCTGTCTACTGTCTATTCTAGCTGTATATGCAGTTTTTTGCACTCGTCTGTTGTCCTTTCTTTCAAAGTGACCCAATCAATGCATTCTTTGTAACTTTATGTACCTAACAATATATTCATGTTTCAAAATTTCATCAATTTCTCTAGTCTAATTCTCCATTGTCTACAGCTCCCTAAATTCCTCTTATAGCATTCCTCTCAAATGTTCTTTCAATCATAGCTGTCCTTGTCTCCGCATAGTGTTTCAATCATAGCTGTCCTTGTATCCGCACTATAGATTACCAGCCTAATCAAGGTCATATATTTTTAGCTTTGTTCTACGTGATAGTAGTCGTGATTTAATTAATTTTAGGTCAGCATAATGAGCTTTGTTTCCTTTCATAATTCTTCTGTTTATTTCCTTGTTCACTTTTTAAACTCCCATATGAGAAATGCAATTTCATGTAGAAATTTTAAATTTTATTTCAATGTAGTTCTCATTTGTTATGTAAATATTTCATTTAAGGGAAATTCAAAACTAAAAACTTGTAAATATATAAGTAGTTCCCATGGATAAGAAACATTTTTGAAGGAGAAATCAGTTGGTTTAAGTATTATTTTATAAATGTAATTGAATTTCTCCATTTATTGATGATAAATATATGTCTGAAAGATAATATTTTTATTTTAACTTAATACTGTATGACAAACTAGGTCACCATTGATTATTTTGTGGATATCATCAACTACATAAAATAAATGACTAAAAGTTCAATTTTGGCAGTAGTGTTAAACGTATTACTTTAGCAGTGTTCATATGACTGCAACATGCAAATCTGTGAATGCAACAAACGAAATAAAATATGTTTGTCAGACCGCATCAGCTAACACAGACCTTAATGTTACATAGTACATAATTAAGTGATTTGTTTACTTGAATTGAAATAAAATGAAAGTCAATAAGGCTGTTTGAAAAATTTTGAATGACACATCTGATAAAAGTGATTTTATTTTTCTTGTAGGAACCTTTCATACTAAAAAAAAAGTAATGTTTACCACTTAAGCTTTAATTAAATAACTACTATATATTTGATTAAAGTAAAAAAATGACTTTTATTATTTAATTGTGTTAAAGTATGGTTCAGAAATGTAGATAATGAGCATAAAGCAAACCAGAAGCATTGTAGTAGCTCAGATGAAGTTTCTAAGGGCAGTATTAGGAGCAACTAGAAGAGAACAAATTCGAAATGAAACAATTAGGAAAGAACTAAAAACCGGAAACTTAGAAGAAGAAATCAAAAATTACCAAAGGAAATGGAGAAAACATTTGAAAATAATTGACAAATAACATCTACGATGGAATTAAACTATATACCGAATGGCAAGAAGATAGAAGCAGACCACAAGAAGGCGGCACCAGCAGGAACACTTCACCACATGAAGGAATACTGCTTTACAACCCACTAACTGGACAAGAGCGCTGCTCCTAAACGAAGGGTGTTGATGATGTAATACATGGGGGAAAATATGTTTGTTGTATGAAAAAGTATGTTATGAAAAGTGGGCTTGTTATTTTTAAGCTCTGGAATCCATGCCTCTTCTTATATACTAACCTTTGTTCAATTATGAATAAAGGCAGCAAGTGTTTTGACTTTGGAGCTATGCCATCAGTAGTGTAGCTGCTGGTAGGGCCTCCCTTGCCGGACAGGTTGAGGAGAGGTCAGACAAAGAAGTACCCCAGGAAAAGTCCTCAACGGCAGTCCCAGCAAAGAAGACCTCTGCCCAAATAGCTGTAACCCATGTCTGGGGTAACAAGGACAAAGTCTTCAATGGGCAGAAAGAGCAGCCCTCCATGTGGGATTAGTACTACGCATGGTGGTTTGTGATCAAGCCCTAAGACAACAGCCCTGTCAGATCAAAATCCTGCGTAAGGCTGGTAACCATAACAGGAAAAATTGTTACTCGAAAGCATCAAGTGAAACAAGACAAGACTTTAAAAACTTTAGCAAAAATAAGGAAAAACGATAGGGAATCATGGATACAGTAATTTTAGGTATATGGAATATGAGAGGACTATCTAATAAAGAAACAGAATTGGGGAGATAGCTAAAAGCATGGAATGTAAATATTGCAGTTATTTTTGATACCAAAAAGAAGGGTAGAGGGACAAAAGACTGACTTCACATTAATATACAGTGGAGTAGATACCAATAACAGAGTGTGCAGTAGGGTTGCTTTATTAATGGATTCGAAACGGAAAAAGAAGCTCTTACACTATAGGTTTTACTGCGAAAGGATACTTGAAACACAATCCCAAATTCCAAAAGGACATCTAACTGTACTAGCCATGTGCACACCAAAAGAAGGCAGAACAGAGGACACTGATGCATTTTATGTAGCTCTTTTAAGGAATTTGGATAAATGTAACAAAAATTATCACATAACAATTGCGGGAGATCTAAATGCTTGAGAAGGGAAATAGATAATTCCAAATGTTTTTGAGTGCTTTGGAATATAAACTATCAATTAAAAGTGGACAAGAACTTTAAGAATTTGGTACTATTAATGACTTCAAGATAATGAGTACCTTCTTCAGGAAAAAGGAGACAAATAAATTTACCCGGAGTAATAGCACCACAAGATCGCTAATGATGATTTATGTTGTAATGAACAGAAAATTAGAACCTCAAATTAGAAATGCTTATGTTTACAGAGACTGTGATATATCATCTGATCACAACTTAGTAGCGTCAAAAACCTCAATTAGAGCCTGATGGAAGAAAATTATGACAAAACAGCATAAAAACGGGAAATCTATGAGCAGAGATATTTATTAAGTCCATGTCTTAAGAGAAGAAAGTATAAGAAATATCTATCAAACACATCTGTAACAGATAAACCAACTCATACCTTTACAAGGTGACATAACACAGAGTAGAGCAATATTGAAAATATTATAAACACTGCAGCATATGAAGCTATTGGTAAAAGGAGTAAACGTAGAAAAGGAAAAGGCCTGAAAATGTGGAACAATAAGATTGCTGATGCCATACGTGAAAGGAAAAATTCTTATCAAAAATTACTTCAGAAATCAACACAAGAGAGGAAAGAAACTACATAAAAAAAGGGGAATCACGCAAAGCAATTAATGGAAAAAGCTCACCAAGAATCGTGCGACTTTTTCATCAGCACAATTGAAAATGTTGGCTATGGTAGGTAGAATCTGGCTTACAAGATCATGAAACATTTAAAATCAGAGGAAAAGGACAGAGCAGAATTAAATGTAATAAAGAAAGATGATTGAATAAAATCTTATAGAGATCTCCTTAATGATAAAATAAAGAAATGAAGATATAAAACAGGGACTTAACATGTTTTCTATCAATGTAAAAATTACTAAATACAGATCACAGTGGGTACAGCTCTTAGGAAGAATGTCTCATGAAAGTATCCCCCTGTACAGACCAAGGGGAAGAAGCGACATTGGCCATTCACAACAGAGATGGTGTATAAAGGCAGAACAGGGAATCTCCCTAACCCATGAAGTGCTGAAGAAGAAGAAGAGAGTGTTTTTGGCAATTTTTATTAAAAATTTGTTCTTGTATACTAAAATATTTTTGTATTGACAACAGAGCTACTGATTTTATTTGTTAGAACTGGTGATGAAGTAACTAAACTCCCCACTTCTGCTTTCAGCAAACTAAGCTTTCAATAAAACAGCAAACAGAGTTCAATGCAGATAGTGAAGCCATATTTACTGTCCACAAGCAAAGCA